GGGGTTCGGGGCAGCTAGTAGATATACCGATACCTCACTCGCCCTCCTAATTTACGAGATACACTCGATAAAGATCGTACAGCGCCGCTGCGGGGCACGCACGCCGCACATTGTTTTATTGCGTTTGTCAAATTCAATTTCGTGCCGGTGCCGCCGCCGCCGCCGTCGCGGCTGCTGCTGCGGCCAATGTCTCTCTCTCGCCTGCATCCTGTCTCTCTGTCATCATCTCTCTTCCGTCTCATTGATCTCTCCCATTCTCTTCTCTCTCTTCTCTCCTCTCTCTCTTCTCTCTCTCTCTCTCTCTCTCTCTCTGCTCTCTCTCTCTCTTCTCTCTCTCTCCTCTCTCTCTCTCTCTCTCTCGGTCTCTGCTCATTCTCTGCGTGTCTCTCTCTCTCCTCGTCTCCTCTCTCTCTCTGCTCTCTGCTCCCATTTCATCTTTCCTCTCTCTCTCTTTCATTCTCTCTCTCTCATTCTCTCTCTCATTCTCTCGTTCTCTCTTTCTCTCTCTCTCTTGCTCATTCTCTCTCTCATTCTCTCTCTCGCTCTCATTCTCGCTCTCATTCCCTCTCTCTCTCTCGCTCTCATTCTCGCTCTCATTCTCTCTCTCTTTCTCTCTCGTTTGTCCCCTTCTTCCTCCTCCTCTTCCTTTCCATGCCCCTATTCCTTTCTCTGCGTTCCCTCCTCTCTCTGCAAACTCGCTATGTATTTCCTTCACACTTCCCCATTCGTTCTTTCTCTGTATCTCTCTCATTTTCTCTCTATTTTGCGCGTGCGCGCTCTCTATCTCTTTCTTTCTCTCTCTTGCACTCTTCTCTTCGTCGTCTCTATCGGTTTGCACCACTCACTATCAATTCCTTCATCTCTTCCCAAACATTCATACTCTCTGTCGATATCTCACGGGTTCTCGCTTTCTCTTTTTTTCTTTTTCTCATTTATCTCGCGGTTTCTCGCTTTCTCTCTTTCTCTTTCTTCCTCACGCCGTATGCACTCTGTATGCACTCTCTGGACAGAGACCCCCTCCCCGCTTGTCTCTAGTTAACCGGCAGCGGTATAGTACGCCTTTGTGAAAGTAAAAGTCGCTGAGCCTTGGCCGCACGGGCTAGCTAGCTAGCTGGCTGGCTGTGACTGGCTGGCTTGTAGCGGCATCCATCGGAGCAAGGAGAGAGAGTCAAGTAGTGCTGTGTGTTAGTGTAGTTAGTTAGTTAGTTAGTTAGTTAGTTAGTTAGTATTCCTCCCTCGTGCGACCCCGCTGCTGCTGGTACTGCTGCTGGTACTGCTGATGCTGCTGTTGTTGCCGCTGTTACTGCTGCTGGTACTGCTGCTGGTACTGCTGATGCTGCTGTTGTTGCTGCTGTTACTGCTGCTGTTGTTGCTGCTGCTGGTACTGCTGATGCTGCTGTTGTTGCCGCTGTTACTGCTGTCGTTGCTACTGTTACTGCTGTTTATCTCGATACTAGCTCGCCCTCGCGTTAATCTCCCGCCCCCCAACCCCCCCATTACCCCATTCATACTAGGGGTTATCCCGCTTCAGGTCCGGACCCCAAATGAAAGGTTCGAAAAACACTTAGCCGAGCTGAAAGTTATTCCACCTCAGGAGGTGGTCAGGTCCGCTCAGGACCCGAG